GGCCAGGAGATGGGATCAAGCTCCATAAGTTGTCGAAAGCCTTTTCTCTGTTATGCCAAATTATGGGGGCTGAATAGAAAGGGATAAATGGAGCGTTGTGGGGTCTTGCTGTTTTGTTTTTTTCGGTTTGCAAAAGCCGAGGACAGAGGCCCTTGACAATCTGGGGTCGACGTCGGTCTCGCCTCCCACCACGCGGAAGCCAGCCCGACATCCGGGAACTGGAGCGCTGCCTCCACCTCCACCACCCGGGCCGGGGTGGGCGTGGCAAAGCCAGGCCCGAGATTCTCACGGGCTGCGAGATCTGCTCGGGAAACCCCTGCTGGGCTCATCTCTGACGCACTTCCGGAGCGCGGGCGCAGGGAATCCGGCGGCGGCTGCCAGGGATCCGGGAGCAGAGGCATGGTCCTCACCAGGTCTTCCCGGCGTGAGGCCGGGGTTTCAGGCCCTTCGGCCGGAGGACCCCGACAGAAGGTAGGAGCTCTTGCCTCCCCCGAATTTCTTGCCCTCTGTAGACCGGCACTGAGGCCAGCGGGGCGGCACCAGAGCCGGCGGTGAAGGAACGCGTGGACCGGGCGGGACCAGGCCTGGCTGGACCAGGCCGTAGCCTGTGCAGGGAACGTTAGTCCTCCGTGCTGGGTACGGAAGAGAAGCGCAATGATGCCCAAGTGACTAGACTCCCCCCCCCCTAGTGCAGGCGCACTGTGGACACCCTGCCACGCAAGATGACTTCCGGCCCCCACGCGCGAGCCGCTACGCCTGGGCCCACGGCTGGAAGCTGCTGGCGGCGGCCTCATCCACTTCTTACGTTGTGTGGGGGCGGCTCTCTGCCTCAATAGCCCTAGCCTGCTGCAGTGCCGTTCCCCGCGTTACACACTAACGGGTCTCCGGAATGAAAATGAATGGGAATGTGTAGCTTTAAAACTATGGGTTTGATTTACTGCTTTTTATTTTGTTAGTGCCCTGTTAACTGCTTATGAGGGACTGCCTCATTTGCTTTGTTTAACTCAACCTTTTCTTGGGGGGGGGAGGGTCGGGGTCGGTCGTGGGGGGCTTGAACTCTGGGTCTGGGCGCTGCCCCTCAGCTCTTCAGCTCAAGGTTAGCACTCTACCACTTGAGCCACAGCACCACTTCCGGCATTTTCTGGTGGCTAATTAGGGATAAGAGTCTCACGAACTTTCCTGCCCGGGCTAGTTTTGAACCAGGGTCCTCAGATCTCAGCCTCCTTAGTAGCTAGGATTACAGGCGTGTACCCGGTTTAACCCAGCCTTAATTAGTGTCTTCTTTGGCTTGTAGAATTCTTCTGCTGAAGAAATTCCAGCACATGCAAAAAGAAGGAAGGAACCTAGTTATGATGGCCTTACTGCTGAGGTTACAAAGAGCGCTGGGAAACAAAGTTCATCTAACAGAAACAGGCAGAACAAAACTTCAGGCTTACAGACAGAGGTCATTGAATTGTCTACAGATGGAGAGACCTCTGAAGCCGAATCCAATTGTTCTTCTGTGTTTGAGGTCCAGGAGCCCATTGTAAGAATAACTAGGAGAAGGCAGATCATAATTGCATCTTCTCCAGGTTCCAGTGTTAGAAAGAGAAAGAAAATAGCTTCAATAAAAGTGCCTCTTACTGAAGAAATAGTCTCCGACACAGAGTCTCATGCTTCATCTACTTCTAGTATAGTGCCTTCCACAGAAATAAGGGCTAAATCTAGAATAGATCCAAGCCAAGAAGCACATACAGGAGCTGTATCTGATGCTGAGTCATCATGCTCAGATATTTTATTCTCTGGAAATACACCAAGGACAGCAATCAAGAATATGCAGAGAAACTTACAGGTACAAATAGAGAAGAAAGATACTAAGACTATATCCCAAAGTGAAAAACAAATCATGGATACATCTATGAGTTCAAAGGATCTAGATACCAAGAATACCTCTCAGTTATCAACAAGAGCACTTTCTCAGATAAATAAGCCAATTGTCTGTAATGAAACAGAAGAAAAACAGGCCAATGTTGTCTCTCTTAAAGAAATAAAGAATTTGAATGAAGAGGACATAGTAGTGATAGATGATGAAAAAGAAATTAACAAGAAAATTTCTCAGATGAAGAACCTTTCTAATCTTCAGAAAACTAGCCTTCAGCAGTTCAGTTCTCAAATGCATTCATCCCCCTCAAAAAACAAAACCATAGTAAAGCCCTCCAATCAGAACTGTGAGGCTATAATGAAATCATTAGCTCAAAAATTTGCAGTTGTGGAAGTGGACAGATGGAATGAAGGAAAAAAAGGCAACATAAAAGGAAGTGACTTGACCACATTCAGTGATCTTGGTGGTAGTGATAAAGATGAAGAGGTTATAGGTGTAGATGGTGGTGGTACTGGTAAAGAGGATGAGTTGACAATTGTAGATGTCAGTGAAGACAAGAATAGCAAAGGGGATGTAGATCTTGAATGTGATACCACATTGTGTAACTCTGAGCTAAACACGTCTCCGGATATTGGGGATTCTGTTTTATTAGTTCTCAGCAGTGATGAAAGCCAGCAATCTGAAAGCAGTGACAATGAAGAGGACACTCTGTGTTTTGTTGATAATTGTGACCAAAAGGTGTCACCCAGTGGAGACTCAAAAAACTTGTCATGTGATAATGCCTTGTTTGTAATTGACACGACTCCTGGGTTAAGTGCTGATAAAAAGTTTTACTTGGAAGAAGAAGAGAAGGCAAGTGAGATTGCTACTGAGGAAGAAAAAGAAGAGCAGGAAGAGGATGAAGGCAGTGAAGAATCATCAGATAGTGATAAAAATAAAGATGATGAATTTAGTGATGAGGACGATTTATTAAATAACACGAAGTCTAAACTGTAAGTTTCATCTGTTTTTCAGCCTTCGTTAAACGTCAGCTAGAAAGGGAAATGGG